TTTGTTAAAATTTAACAACTACTAACTTGAACACTTTTAGTTTTAAAATTCAGTGTTTTTTAAAGACTTTAAAAAATGTGACGTTATTTATTTCATTATTTCAAAGATTTACAATTTTTTTCGAGGCGCTCATCACTCAGTTGAGTGGTTGTTTTTGAAAATGCATAATGGAAATTTAGTAAAGTCACAGAAAAAGACATTGTTGCGAGAAATAGTGGGAAAACCCAATGATCGTTTGCTTTGATACCTTTCTTTTTCATTTCATCGAAGATTGTTTATGAATTTTTAACTGATGGCTGAACTCTTAACATTAACAATAGCATTTGTGTTTAACTACCTACTATAATTATAAAATATTTTTAAAAAAGAAAAATAATTTGATTGGTACTAAAACTTCGACAAGGAAGTTAATCGCTCACATCCTGACTACTCCTACTGCTGCCTATCAATAACTTTGTCACAATTTCATTTTGTGAATGATATTTAAAAGGGTGTGTTCTATTGTCAGTTGTTAGAGTTAAAAATACCAATACTTTCCGATTTTTGTGAACTTTTACTGTAAACTTTGGTAAGTTTAAATATTTTTTTTTTATTGTATATGTTTGTGCGTGCATGCTTTATTCATATTTTCTTCAAATTCATAGATACGGTTCCCCCCTCCCAGATTTATATCCTTAAACTAAAAGTTACCAGTGATAAACTTTGTTTCTAACTGCAGCATAAATTAAATTTGAAGAATGAATAATTTATAATCGCACGTTTCTTAGTCTTTTAAGTTTTACATGTGATTTTTGTAGTTACTTAAATTAATTATGAAAATTATCTAGAAAGTTTAAAAAGTAATATCAGTTTTCGCGAGTGACCCGTGTCGGTAAACTTTCTAGGAGAGGTTTTACTTTAAATTTATATATATATATATATATATATATATATATATAATCACTTAATTTACGTTTACAAATAACATTTTATAACCGTATGGCGTATTAGCCTTTTTTGAATAAGTTTTTTATGTCAAAGTCAACTCAACATTTTTTTTATTAGGCAACACTTCTAAATGTGCTATTGATAATTTTACTCTCAAAATAATTTTAATTTAAAACATTTTAAAAAATATATTGGATCACAGAAAAAATAATTGACTAGAAAATTATGTCATTCGATGAAAAATATTTTAGTAGAAATTTACTAGTTGGAAATGAGATTTAGAAACCGGACCGGATTTAAAAAAAAAAAAAAATCTCGTGCGGGCTCGTAGCTTATATTTTAAAAAGGATTCCTAAATTTAAAAATACGCAATTTATACATTATTTACTAGCATATTGATAGTCTACAGGGCTTATAAAATAGGTAAATATTTAACTTCTATCAATATGATGAATAATTAAAACTAAATTTAAATATTACAGCTCCTCCAACATGTAACATTGCCAGACCGATTTCCCCAAAGAGCTTGAAAGTCTTTTAATGCGGGAAGCACACTGATAAGTAAATTGAGATCGCAGATTTTGTCAAAAAAAGCCTCTTCATATGTTTGTCGAGTTGAAACATTTAAAATTAGATTCAAATTTCCCACCTGAAGAATCACAACGCTTGTAGAAAAAAATTTGAAATTTATTTCAGTCCTAAGTTAAAAGAAGAGTTTTCTTGACTTAAGACGTCAAGTAATGTTTCTTAGTAATGAAACAAAAGTCATAAACTAGTTTAAACGTATTATTTTAATTACTAAATAAAACTGCTATTGTCAACAAAATATAAATCATTCGTTTAAATTAAAAAATAAAAATAAATAACTTTAGTTATTCTTAGAAAAATGTTAAGGCACTTTCTTATTTTACACAGTGTTGAGTTGAGTGTCTTAGTTTAACTTTTAACGTCAACAATCAAAATTTAATTTTAAGCAAAACAAGTTTGTTTTTTTCGATGTAGTCGTGCTCTTTATGAAAATGACTTTTTTTTTTCTCTTTAAGAACCTGTTGATTTTAAGAATTTAAGTGTGAAGTGGCCATGGTTAAATGTAAATGGCAGAACTGCCCAACAAAGTTTGTAATAAACAATATAACAAGAGAAATAACTTTTTAGACTCTAGAGTGGAAGCAGGTGGAGTAAAGCGAGGTTCGTTTTATAATCTAACGCGCCGGGTGTCGTGTGAATATTTATCCACGCGCCTCACGTCACAACAAAATATAGCACAAGGTCAGACTTTTACATACCCTCGGTACTACCTCTTTCTTTTGTGGATGCCTCAAGCTCTGATCCGGGTATTGACCCCCAGCCACCTCACAAAGGAGAGATACTGCCTTGGGGAGAGAGCTTGAGTATCTTATCAATAATTATTTCTAAGTACCGACACAGATTCCCCTTCCCAACCAAAAAAAAAAAATATAAACCCCGAAGAACATAAAATCTTCTTTGAAGTTAAATTTTGGTTTTACAGCTACTAATTTCTATAAAAAGAAATTTCCGCATGTAAATAGATTTTAGGCATTTTTAAACAAGTGGAACATTCATATGTCACTCATCAAACCACTATTAGAAAAAAAAAAGTTATTGGAATTTAATTTGAGAACCACAACTACAATATTTTACAAGTTCATGTTCTAGCCTCTTTTCCACTCCTCACCCCAACTTTTTTTCCCCTGCTTTCAAATCCGGCTCCCAAAGCCTTGATTCTTATCAGAGAGAAGAATATATTTTCGGACAAAAGAGAGAGCTAGAAATATATAAAAAGGAATTTGACTATCATTATCCTGTCTATGGTGCTATAAAGTCTGGGGGTAAGCTCACAGCTTGTCTGACCCTTGCTTCCAAAAAGCAGCTCCCAAAACCTTGGTTCTTATCAGAGATAAGAATATATTTTCTAACCAATGAAGGGTCCAGGAAATTTGTATAGCAATTTTGGAGGGAAAAGTCCCCGATATTTCTGAGCCTCCTAATCTCCATAAATAGGGAGAATCTTCGCCTATTTGGCAGTGAGTAATCAATAACCATCTGTGATAACAAAGGCCAACTTCAAGAAAGAATTATCTACTATGTCGAGAATTAACATTGGCCCACTACTAAAAACCAATTGAGATCTACCTCCTTGCACTGAGAAGATGTCACTGGCCTACAAACTCACTCCACTACAAAATTCATATCTTTTGTCAGCTTCCTCATATACAAGAACTCTGAACAAATCTGTATGTGTTTTAACCTTTAAACAGCAATCTACTACTCGCTTAAAGAACTTTTTTTAGGTGCTCAGAGATATATTTTGAGCAAGCCTTTTCTTTTATGGACATTTTTATCTTCCTTTTAAGTTAAAGGAATTTTCTTCTCCCTTTCTTTCTCTCATAATTGTGTATATCCTTATACCCTTTTTTGTTCATGTATTGTAAATAAACATTTTCTTCTTTTATTGTTACACACCGAACAGGAGTTTCAGTCTTTATTCTTCCACCTAAAAAGAGAGAATTGTCTGTTCTAATCTTACAAACCATTGTTGCTTTCTTTTTTCAATTTAGCCACATTTTTAACTTCATCCCTTTCATGTGGGAAAGCTGAGACAAATTTCTCACAATGTAAACAAATTTAAAAATCTAATATTTGTGTTAGAGATGTGTTTCATAATAGATTAATAAATTCATAGATTAAGTTACTGGATTTTATAAAAATAATGCTTACTTTTGGCTTAATACATAATGAAAATAATTATATTCTGTGATGTCACTGGTTAATAACAAGCAGTAGTTATCTGCTGTATTCCCTGATTTTAAAAGCACACAAATGTATTTTTTAAATTGAACTAATACAGAATTCCAACAGTGTAATAATGAAAAAATTAATTTTTATGTTTAAAAAGAAGTTAACTATAACCTTATAACTAACAGTTTAAGAATATAATTTTTATTTTACATGCTTTTATGAGACTTTGTAGAATGAATAATTTTATTTTTTATATGACATTAGAAATATAAAAAAGAAATTAAAAACTACTGAAATAATACTTTTGAGTTTAATTCATTGCTTTTATTTTCTATTATTTTCTTATCTATTTCATGTCATGAAATATTTATTGGCACCTAATTAGTTCTTTTTTAATTATTCTGAATTTAAGAGTGTTAATTATAGGTTTATTAAAAGAAAATAATCCAGTATTAATTACAGGTTTATTATGAATTAATTAGCAGGTTTGTATTTCCCTAAACATTTTCCTAAATTTAAGTCTTAATTACTTTCTCTCTGTCTGTTCCTATGATTTCAACTAATTAACAGACAATTACCACTTTCTTTCTTTCAACATTTTTTGAAATTCAAAAAACTTGACACTTTTCTTTTCAATTGTGTTATTGATAGTCTGTCACGTTCACTATTTTAGCTAGTGTTAACTTGGTATACAATGGCCAGATCAGGTTTTTGGTGGTTAAAGCGTCCATTGTAATTTGTATGTAGGTTTTTGTATAGTGTCAAGTGTTTCCTCGTGATTTCAACCAGCATTATTCTGACCAGTTCAAAAGCGCTAAAACACATAATGAGAAAGCCTATCCAAATTTTTATACCTTATTAAATTGATATTCTTTATTTTGCCATAGCCTCCTTTTCATATTTATTACTAATTAAATTATTCATTGCGTTCTAGTATTTTGAGACATTAGCATTCATTATCTTTTTATCTATTTGATATATACTGAATATACATATTTTTTTCTCGCATATGCTACATTCATTTTTATATTTTAAAAAAAATTGTAAAAAAATATCTTTCATATCTGAAAGCAATTTTTTTTTTCACATTATTGCCACAAATGAAGTATAACTAAAATTTTCTGTTTTACCCAGAAAACCAATACTTTTGGCATCTTCAAAAACATCTATTGTAATGGTTTGAACAATTCTGTAAATTTTGTTTCTAATTTTCATGATACAGATTCTGAATTGAATAAGATGCAAACAAGTTACTCTTTGAGTTTATATTACTTTTAATTAAATTAATATTTTATAGGATTTACAGCCACATCACACGGAAACACCAATTCCCATACAATCACCAAAGTTAAACAACTTTAAGCTTGGTCAGTGCATAGATGTGTAACCACTTGGGAATACCAGGTGCTGTAAGCTTGAATGAGCAGGTTGGATAATGGATTGGAATTGTTAATTGGAGAGTCAAGTTCCAATTCCTGTTGGGCTTGTTATATTCAATTATGAGCAAATACCCATGGGAAAGGTATGAATCCACCTCTTCTCCCCCAGCTATGGATTAATTAGTAAGACTTGTATCAGTAAACCATTATCTAAAAACAATCTAAAAATATTTTAAAGGCTTTAAAGAACTTACTAAGTGAGTGATAAGCCATAGAAAACAAATCAATCAATAATATTTTATATCTAAATAACATATTGTCTTTAGATTTATGCCTCTATTATACTGTTAAAACAATCTTATATTTCTATTAAGACAATGTTAATATTAAGACATTATTATTTGTTTTTGCTTTCAATCAGAGATCTTGCATTATGGATGTTCTCTATCAAATTATATAACCTCAGACAGAGAGCACTTTTCATGGGATATTTGCAGTGCCAAGCAACACGGATTTCTGAGGCAATGAGATACAAGGCTTTATTCTGATTTTCTCAATGTAGGACTTTAAATTTAGTAATATAGATCCCAATATCCAAATGATAACAGGTACAATAGTAAAAGATGTTGTTATTATTATTTGATTGATATCCTCTTAGATGTTTCAGCCAGGTGACAATATGTTGACCCCCTACCAACAGCTTAGAGAGCCAACATTTTCCTTAACACATGAACTGTTTCAAGCAGTGCTGCTACCTACCTGTGCACTCTCAATGATGTCAGATATCCTAAAGTGTCCTTTGAGACAGAAAGATTTCTGAAAATAGTCCCAAGTGTGATCACAAAAAGTACAATTTGTGCTGCTGCTGCTTGGTACATTTCTCTGATTTGCTCTGCCTTCACAATGTTCTTTTCCCAAGATACTGTAAAGTCTATCAGTATCAATTCAGTGACTGCTTTTGTGCACAAGGGTGATATCAGGATGACTGCTCTCTCAGTGTATGTCAGTCAATATAGTTTATTATTTTTATTATGATGACATTCTTATATTGATAAATGTTAACAAGGATTTTGTTTGATGCACAGATTTTTAAAAAATCTAAATAAGAATGATAGAAGGGAATTGATCCAATGCTGTGGGAAAATGGTGAGGATATCTGGACTTGTTATTTAATAACAATGCATAAAATATTGATTAGCCCCAAATGTTTGTTTTGTTTTTATTGTTAGATGGCATTAGAGGCGTTTAGTCATAACTAACTTCAGTCAAAAAGATTGTTTGTTTTTTTTTATTATTATATTCTGACAACTGTCATGTTTCATTATTAATTCTAGCATTGAAGATAAAAGGAAATGTTTTTTGTGTATTACTCTTTATTTTAAGAAGTAAAAATATGACCCAAATTAAAAAAAAAAAAAAGAAAAAAAATCCATGCAATATAAAAGATACTGTGAAGGTTTAAACATCAAAAAATGGTTTACAAAGCTTCATGCTAGAGATTTCTTGGCGTTCAACAATAAGGTAGACCAGATGAGGTTGATAGCAATCAAGACAATTACAATGAGGAAGATAAGCAACATATTCAAAATATCCAAATTTCAAATGCTTGATATTGGTTACAAAACTACTGGAAATGTATATTTATTTTGTAAAAATTACAAAATAGTGGCTCAAGGCTGAAGGGGGAGTGAGGAAATGCTGGTCTTCACTGACTATCCTAGTCCTAGTTAATCACAGTCATGACCCATTCATTCAATACAATATGCTCAATCACTACAAGAACTTGTCCATCACCTCTCAATCCTACATGTACCACAATACCACATATTAACAAGGGACCTACAAAACACACTGTGATGTAAAAATTTGTGCAGTTTGTCTCTTTTTTTTTTCTTTCCCCCCTATAAAAATTTTCATGATGCATGCAATGATGGGAGAGGGAATGAACCCAAAAAGAAACTAAAGAATGAAAAAAAATATTCAAACTAAAACAATATAGATGTTAGTAGGACCTATCCACCCCTCAAAATATTGAGAGCGGCCACTGTATTCTGCCATTCGACAGAAGCAAGCAGCATACTTGCTAATGCAGCATCCTTCTGAGAATGATTGCAAAAAATACTTCCCCAATTTATAAGCAAATCTGCACAAATGCATGCTGGGATTTCTTCCTAGCTAATAAGGCCACTTCTCAGTCTCATCTAACTCAGTCCCACTCTGTCTTGTCCTGAAGTCAGAATCCGTACTTGTGTGTCAACACCAATTCTTAATTTGTGAACATTTTGGCTTATTACTGTTGTTTTATCTTATTATTGTTTGCTTTCTTAATATTATATTTTGCCCTGAGCTTTTCTTTCTCTTGTCATTGTTTATTACAAACTTTGTTGGGCAGTTCTGCCATTTACACTTAAAATCATTTGTTCCAGTTTGGTTATGTTATATAGGCTAAGTTTAATAAACATATCTGCAACAAAGGGGTGTCAAAAGGAGAGTTTTTCTCTTGACACTTCTATTATGGTATACTCCTGCAGCAATTTTTGGTATGTAAAAAGCTATTTTTAGAATTTTAATAATACATATATATATATATATATATATATATATATATATATACACACACATGCAAGTTTGGTTGAAAGACTAATAAAAATATGTACCAGAAACCAGGAAAACGGTCCATAATATAGAGAAGCAAATAAAAAAAACAAAAAACCAACAAAGTGCCTGGTTAATACTTTTCCTCAGTCTTTTGAACAGGAGTAGAGGTTTATCCTGTTTAGGATTAGGTTCCTGGTTCCTTTTAAAGTCTTTTCATTCTCTTTCACTTCCAGTAGGCTTTTATGTCTTAGTGGCATTATCACTTTGATTGGAGTGAATTGATTAACAAAATAAACACAATCCATAACAAAGAACCACTGCCCAGATACACTCAATACACACACACACACAAAAATAAATAAAAGTGAACATTGAACACCAATCGGCAAAAGTCCATTTCATGCTTTAGGACAATCTGCTGGCCATGAAGACTGCATTCAAGCCTGAAACTGACTGTCGCTGCTGGATGTTGACATCAATGTTCACTTTTATGTTTACATATGCTCTATTCCTTATATTGAATGTTTTGACAAAGTCAAAATAAGAACCTAGCATATTGCTTGTGTGGGCGTGAATAATTTCAGCACTGGTAATGCGATGATCTCTCATGATTGATACACAAAGCCAAACAAACAGATTTCTTGAACTGTGCCATTACAGAGGAATCCTTCTCCCTCTTTCTCTCTAACACACACACACACACACATATATATTGTTTATGTGTTCTTAAAATAGGATATAGAATGGCACTGAGACTGTGAGGTGACTAAACATTAATTCTAAGTAAAAAATGATTATCCCCAAAATGAAATATAAACTGGAAGATAGACAGAATGGAAGACATTTTCCCCTGGTAATATGGAAGTGAAAAAAAAGCCATTTTATCGCCCCTACAAATTGGAACAAAGAGGGTTTTTTCTTTTCTTTTTTTTATCAATCAAAAAAAATCTGGCATGCGGGTAAAGCAAATTGGGAAATGGCTTTATCTCTTTCTTGGGAAATTAGAAAAACATGTTATTGGCAAGTAGAGATGCAGATGGGGATTATATTTTCTTTGGCAAAAACAAATTAAGAAATAAAAACAGGGAATGAACCCACTGCGAAGGTTAGGATTATGAAAATCGATCTTGTCACAACAGGCAGGTGGTCTGGTTTGTTTTCACTAAGACTGCAATTGACTCAAGGATGGAATATCTCTTTCTTGATAATTTAGGTAAACAAGTATATTTTCATTGACAAAAACAAATTGGGAAATAATTTTTATCACTCGGAATGTTAAAATGAGAAGCAGTGATCAGTTTGTGTTCTTGCTGGACAGAGGTAATGGTAGGGGAAGTGGAATGAGATTAGAGAATTTAAATTAATGAGGGGAATAAACTACGCACTTTAAAAGTTAGATTTGTCACAAAGACAGTTACACATACCTTGACTCAGAATAACATGAAGGAAGGAGGGAGGGACAGAAATTAGCCCTTCCTGTATGGAGTGGCAGTGCCAGATGCAGGTTGAAGTTAAGGGAGGAGCAATCCCTGTGACTACTTCCAAGGAAGATGGATAATTTTCCAAATTTAGAAAGTTGATTAAGAAAGCAGAAATTGGGAACAAGATCTTTATTTGGATTAATGTGTGGATTAAGGGAATCACCAAATCCACAGAACTCTTCAGCCCCATGCCAGCTTTGAGCCAAAGTGCATATAAGCAGATAACTTTGGGAAGCTCAGAGACTTTGGGCTAAGAACCCACATTGAGTGCCTCTGAAATCCACATCAGCTGCCACCAGATTTCCTGTTTCTATGACTTTGGACCCAGCTCCTCCAGAAGTTTAGACAAGACCCAGTGTCACTATAGAGATTGATGTGGGAAGGGTTAATTTTTCTTGTACCAAGAGCTATGTAAACCAATTGAAGATTAACCTCATGAATCTTTTGTTTTATTGTGTGATTGTTGTGAAGACATTTTTCTTCCTTAATGTAGCATCTGCCATAGCTTGAACTTGCGCTATTATTACAACAATCTTTAATCTTCCACTGCACTGAGATCAAGAACAAAATGTGGACAGAGTTGGTGTGGATTGAAGTGACCAGCAACCAACAACCAATATCAGCATCGATTAGCACAGAGTTAGCCCTATGGTTAAAACATTGTCCTAAGGACCAGACCACTAAACATGGTTACAACTGCCATGTGTAAGTGGCAGCCAAAGGCATTACATTGATTGGTGACCATGACTAAGGACATTACACTGTTGGCAGGTTGTGTTATAAAAGTTTATAAGAAATCTGACAAATTGAAAACATTTCATTAAAAATAGATTATATATAATATATATAAAGAAATAAAGTTTTAAGGTGTGGTATATTTATGGGATAAATTACTCAATATCAGAGATAGAGCGTATGTAAATATAAAAGTGAACATTGAAGTCAACACTCAGAGG